CCTGCTCTACTAGAGGAATTGAAGTTTTGGTTTTGTAACATTGAATCTTTTAATGGTTACTCCATTCGGCCCTCTCTTGATTCATCCACCGTTGTATTTTCTGACGCGAGCGACGCAGCTTTCGGAGGCTTTTCCGCCTCCCCGGACGGCACTGTGGCCTGCGGTATGTTCCCTATCGACGATTTGGGTCAAAGTTCTACTTTTCGCGAGCTGAAAGCTATTTATTATGTCTTGATTTCGTTTGTTGAGCACCTCAAGCACAGGCGGGTTAAGATTTTTACCGACAATCAGAATGCCGCCAGGATACTTTCCGTTGGCAGCTCTAAGGTCCATCTTCAGTCGGTGGCTCTGAGCATTTTTCGTTTTTGTTTTTCGCGCGGTATTGCCTTGGAAGCGCAGTGGATTCCAAGGTCACTCAACGAGAGAGCTGATATCCTAAGCCGGTACGTCGAGAAGGATGATTGGCGTATTAATCCCTCCGTGTTTGGACTTGTAGATGCCAAGTGGGGTCCCCCCACGATTGACTGTTTCGCTTCCTTTTATAACGCTCAGCTTTCGCGTTTTAACTCCAAGTTTGCTGCTCCTGGTTGTTCCGCTGTCGATGCTCTGGCGCAGGATTGGAGAGGGGAGAACAACTGCGTTTGCGCTCGGGTCGGTCTCGTTGTGGACGCCGTTAGATTGCTCTTGGCCAGTTCCGGTCGGGGGACTTTGATTATTCCTGAATGGCCATCGGCCTATTTTTGGCCGCTTTTACGTGACGGACCTTCTTGATTTAAGTCATTCGTCAAGGACGTTTTAGTGCTTCCCGACATTAAGGACCTTATTTTGGAGGGCCGAGGTCAGAGGCAGGTCTATCAGTCTCGCCCGTCCGTTTTTCACGGTTGCCCAAAATTTAGAATGTTGGCTTTGCGTGTGGATTTCGGGTGAGTTTTTGGTACCGTCGCGATAGTGGTTTAAGCCTGAATTGGCATATTTTAGCCTGAATTGGCTTATTTTGAGCCTGGATTGGCATATTTTGAGCACTGTTGACGTACTTTGAGTTAAGGCGATCTCGTTGCGCGTGTTTGTGCCTCCTTCGGTATTTTTTTGAAGAAATCGTTTGATTTTCACGATATTTTCTTTTCTTTCAGATGTGCTGAGTTCCGGAATTTGGCTTGAAGCAGCCTCATTGTCCGATTCTTCTCTGAGTGAGATGGTTCCAGGCATTATTGATCTGTAATTAGATGCCAAGGTTCCGTCCACAGTGCTAAAGTACAAATCTGGCTGGTTACGGTGGAGCCGGTGGGCTCTGTCGAAGTTCGGTGTTCCCGTAGTTCCGTCAAAACCTCTGCATATCGCATTGTTTATCTCTGAGCTAGCTAAACGTTCTTCCGAGAATAGCTTCTCCTAGAGAATCTGCTTTTTATGCTATTAAGTCTGGCCACGCAATGGCCGGTATTGAGGCTTGCCCTGCTAACCATCCTTTAGTAAAGTTTGCTTTAGAAGGTGCCAAAAGAAGGCTCGCCCGACCATTTCAGCCTAAGGAGCCGCTGTCGGTTAGTACCGTACAGGCGATAGTTGCCCATTTTGCCTCAAGCACTTCGCTTTCCGATCTTGGTTTTTTATTCTTTCTTTTGGTCGATTTTGCCGGCTTTTTTCGCATTGCTGAGATCAGGAATAT